CCTCCTGGCGCGCATACACTCCGTGCCTGTGGACTGTCAAGTGGTTGGCGTAGCATAATAATTGTGCATATTTGGCTTTTTAATAAAATCTAATCGTCATGGCATCATCCGAGGGGCTCACGGACACCCGTGAAGCCGGACCGACTGCCTCGCCAGCAGGGGTGGCGATGAAAATTTAATTAAATTTAGCCAAAACAAACGCAACGGGAAGCAAATGGGGCGCACGCACACAGGATCCGGGATTAGAGGCCTTCGATATGGTATTGATTGAGCACTGCAGATGTTCGAGCTGCTCGAGTGCGTTATGAAATATGCCATCAATTGACGACCAATTATCTCTATTCATGGGTGGCAAATAGGGTTAAGTTTTTGCATAATTCAAGTAAATCCAAGCGGAAACCAAAGGATGGGCTACAAACAAAATCATAAAAAGTTCATGTTATTAAGTAAGGAAACTTTGACAAAAGACTTTCTTATTACTAATAAGTACTTAGTTTAAATCCCATTTTCATTTTTATTGATAATTTAAAATCTAAACTAAGGTCCTGCTACTTCCCTTAAGCCTTTTAAGTTTTCTTCATTTCAATAAAAATACATTTTATCACTAACAAAAGTTTGACTTTAAAACCGAATGGAATCCCAAATATGAGACAGTGACTTTTTCCCTGAATTTATAGAATTTATCTTAAGAAAATATGTTGTATTGGGCCTAGATTACTTTCTTCATTTTCAAAGAGAAATTCCAAGAAGAAAGTTCAAAGGTAAAGCTTCCGTCAAACCTCCTTTTTATCGAGCTAACATAATTATGAATTGCTTAATATTGAATGAAAAATAGGACAATATTTGTAGTTTTTACTAATTGTTGTTTTATGTTTATTTTATATATTTAAAAAAATTTGTACATTACAAAACTTTCAAACTAATGTAATATAAAATGGTAGCAAATCAAAAAAATTTAAGTTTCAAAAACAGTGGTGGAGAATCATTCCTACAAAATACTTCTATCACGCCATCAAAATGTCAATTATGGTTATTTTTGGCAAATTTTTTACAAATTTAACTTTCAAATAGTACTTAGTACTTAGCTTATAATTTATAGAAATCTTGTTTTGTTCATGTAACTGAACAATATTTGCATTTTTGCAGCTCTGCGTAATCATTTCACTATTTCCATAATTAAAAGGTCAAACAGGGTATTGTATAATTAAAATATTTTAATAATTCATAGAAAGAAATTAATATTAATATTATCGTATTTTCTAGTACAATTTATAAGCTCATCACTTTTTTTCTATAATTTAGTATTCTATTATAGATAATAATAATGATAAATTATGAACGAAATAAATATATTTAAACTTATAGAATAGATTTATTTATTATTAAAAAAAAGACTCGACTGTGAAACAAATACGAAATACCGAAAAACATGAAACTGCGAAATGAATTTATGTTTTTCTTATCGCCAAAGAGGGGGCTGTCGAAGGCCGGGAGGGACCCAGCCTGGACTCAACCTCACCGGATACTGGGGGAAACGTGATGATGCATTTAAGATTCTTCCGATTGGTCATTATTGTCTGGCATTTAATGCTGGCCTCGTCTTCGACGGACGGCTTTTTTGATTGATCTACTCATTGACGTGGCTGCCGGCTCCTTCCACTTGGCCTCCACTTCATCCTGCCACTACTCGGCGTCCTGCTCCTCCTTCTTCTCCTGCTTTTCCTCCTTGTCCTCTCCTCTTGGGTTTCTGGAGAAACAAGACACAGATGGCGGCAGTCGATAAGCGTGGTGGGGATGCTGGAGCAAAAAGTGCAATGGCGTTGACAAAATGATGATGGTGGGGCCCAAGGTTGCGCAAGTGCATTTTTCCTCCGGTTGGCAAGGATTGCCCGCAATTGCAGCATCTCGGGTTCAAAGGGCCAGCAAGCGGCGAACGTCTTGATAGAGTTGTACTGCGAATAGATCGATTCTTGCAATTTTTATGATTATTACCAGGAGAATTACTTATTTGCAGGCTAGAGAAGAGATAAATATGTAAACTTAACTTACTATTTAGTATTTAACAACTATTCAAGGCTTAAAAAACATTGAATATTTTGGAAATCCTTGAAAAATTACTGGAAATAAAAGTAAAATAATTTATTTATATTGTTTGTTAACTGTTTGTTTACTAACAATTATTAACGGCTTTAAACAACCTTATAAAATATAAAGAGGAATACACCCGAAAATTAGTACGAATGTAAGTACGGTATTTGATTTAAATACTTTCGACCAAATAAGAAATTATTGAAATTAAATGCTTAAAATGTATTATGGGATAAAAATGCAAACTCTACTCAATAAACTATTTTTTACGTCTTCAAAAAAACATTAAATAACATAGAAATCGACCTAAAAATTGCTGCAATTAAAAGTAAGGTAATATATTCACACCTTTAAAAACAATTGTACATTGCTACTTTTTCAATTTAATTACAATTACTTGAAATGGTTTCTTTATATATCATTTAGCTTATTTTAATTAGTCTTGGGTATTATCGTTATTTGCCATATTTCCCAATAATTATTGCCTTTCAATATAAAATTTCTCCGATTGATATTTATATTTTAAAACAAGTTTTTTTTTTGAATTATAATGATTTTTATGTTAGAAATAACCTGCAATTTTGGATATTTAATTACAGAAAGACCTTATCAATCATTTATAGCAAATTTAGCTTACATTTTTGTCTTGTAAACTACCAATCTTTCTAATGAATATAGGAATTCCTTCTCTCTCTCTCTCTTCCTTTTTCTCTGTCTCTGTTTCCTTCTTAGTTTCCATCTCTCTTTCTCCAAATAGACGAAACTGATCATCAAAAATGCGCAACTTGCAAAGCGTTTTGCAACTTGCCGCAAAGGCAGAAGCAACAACAGGCGGCATCAGCATCTTGCAGTTGCATACCCCGGCGTACACAGGAGGCATTCCCTCCTAATGCACTGAAGGAAATTGCGTATTACTTAGATTATTGGAATGGAAATTTTTTTAAAGTAATTAAAATAAGTGTAGTAATTTATATAGAATGCAAAGTAATGAATGAAATATTTAATTTCTTGGAGTTGATCTATTTAAAAGTATTTAAAAATAGATTTTTCGAAGAATTTTATTTCTGTTCATGAATTAAACTATTTACTTTTTTTACTTATGGTTTTGTATTAATTTATTTGCCTTATACATACTATATTTTATGACATAGTAAACTTGATTTAATATATTTCTATCTATAAATTCCATTCAATTTCTCTTCGTGCATATTCGCTGGAGAAAGAGACTGGAGCGCGATCGGGACTGGGACTGGGACTGGGTAAATGATTCTCAGGCCTGGGATCTGGGATCTGTGGATCGGAGATCGAACCGATCGTGCGTCATACGAATGCCTCGTGTTTTCTACTGCTGCTGCTGAGGCTGAGGCTCCTCCTCGTCCTCCTTGACGATGTCAAGAAACAAATTTGGTGGCTACTCGTTCTGGGTTCGTCCCTGGTCGTCCCTGCGAACGTTCGTACGTTCGATTTGGGAGCAGGATCTGGAAAAGTATGGAACGGAGGGACACAACTGCCGGCTAACAACTGCATTCGATGCAAGTTGAAAAGCACCACGGCCGGGAGAGGGACAAAAACGACTTAAAAGCATTTTGCAGTTGAGCCGACGCAAGACTTCATCATCTTTGCTTTTGCTTTTGCTGGAAAATAAGAGGGAGCTCTGGGGGAGGCATGGAGGATATCAAGGAAGGGGCACGGATCGGGGTCCGTAGGGGGAGCAACAATTTAATGCCGACCAACAAACCAACAAACAAACCAACCAACCAACCGACCGATCGCACTTCTTGTTTGGCCATTTTGCCGACGCAATAAGATAAGAAATTTCGCGATTTGCTTGGCAATTCGGAAAAACTAGAAAAGCAACAATTTGATTAAGAGCACAGGAAAGAAAATTGTATATATAATATACAAGTATATTATATGATATAAAATATATATAATAATGTAATAAGAAGAGCCTTGTTTAGAGATATATTAAGTTGTTATTGTTCCATGTTTATGTAAATTCTAGATAGATTAACATGGATAAAAGAAAAATATTATAATGATATAATAAATATTAATATTAAATATATAGGTAAAAATAATGTTATGAAATTTTCCTGATTCGTTACATTACATATCGAAGCATTTGAATATTATATCTAAACACCATAAATATTGACTATCATAAACACTTTTTAAATGATTATTTCATTAATCATTTAGAATGCACCTAGAAAAGGATAATATCCTGTGATTCCTTATTGAATAATATATCAATTTCCTACATGATTTATATATTTCGAATTTGTATGATCTTCATCAATAATAATTAATAAAATCAAGTAATTTTATTTAAATCTCATTGAATTACATAATAAAATAGATCCTTCAGATTGTCTTTATAAGGGCATGATGCAAACTACAAGTTAAAATTAATGTGTAATCGTTGTAAAGTGATTTTTAAAATAAAACTTATCCCTGATTGTTTGTCCCTGTATATATTTGATATTTCATTATAAGGATTAAGATGGAGAAAGGGCCAAATATTGAACCTCAACCACACGGAATTCTACACAATAAAACAAAGACAGATTGGTAATTTTTATGAAATAAAGAAAGGAAAGAAAAAGTAAAGTAAAAGAATATTTTATTTTATTATTTTATTATATTTTACATAAAATTTTCTGCTGTTTTTATGATATCTATAAATAAGATTATCTTATTAACGATACTCTTTGGCTGTGTATATTTATTCTGACCTAAAGATGTTTGTAATATAACTATAAACGTTCCTAAATTTGCACTTAAAATCTCTTAACAAAGTTTTCTATAATAACTATGTTCATAAATAAACTTTAGTTAAATATTCATTTTTTCCACTGTGCATTCTTCTACTTTTTCCTGTTCTTTGGGGGAAAAAAAACAAAACCAACGGAATGGTCTTATCAGTGCTCCGAAGTCCGGACAGTCGTTGGCGGATCGTGTCCGATACCAGGTCTTAGGATTCTCGTCCTGCCGCTCGATCTCGTCCTCGTCCTCGTTCGCGTCTCCGTCCAGAGACTGTCCATCGATGGCTTTGTCTTTGTGCCGCCGAGAAACTTGACGGGGGGTGTGGAGTGGAAGAGGACGAGGAAACGGGATGGAGGAGCCAAGGAGTAGCTGCGGAGGAGCGGCAAAAACGCACCGAATATCGGTGCCAAAGCGGAGACTGCAAAACAGAAGCGCGCCCGGAATGTGAAAAGTTGGTTCCCATGACTCCATCTCCCTGGGACAAGGCGCTGTTCAAAGACACCGAAATCCATCGTCTCCATCTTCGCTCCATGTTGCCACTTGCTCCCGCTCCCGCTCCTGCTCCCGCTCCTGCTCCCGCTCCTGCTCCTGCTCCTCTCCTTTCCCTAAACTTGTCTCTTCCGTCTGGCTCGTTTTGTATTGTATTTGTAGCCGCAGTTTTAGTTGGCCCCGACCATGAAAAGCCCTCGTCTTACCGCTTAAAAATACCCCAACCCCCAACCCCCAACCCCTACCACAACCTCAGTCCCAGTACCGACTCCCGACTCTCGACTCCCACCGCTCTCTCACCTTGCGAGTTGTTTGCTGTTTATCAGCGATTTGGAAGCATTCAACACGCTGTTTGAACTAACATAAAAACATATTGAAACATTTGGCATTGCTGCCGATAAGGCACTGGAGCAGCAAAAGAGGGGAGTGTCTGGGTGGAATTACACGGAGAGAAAAGGGTGGCTGTGCAAGGTATTTCAGTATAACTTTTGATATAGAACCCATTATTCATATATTTAAATCAGTGTTACCAACAAATCTTACCAGTCTGCAAATTTCTTTGCTCGACCTCTGCTTGCACCGATAGTGTAAGATTGTGCACAATATAATCACAATCACATCGATATATATCAGAAACATGTCATTATCATACTGCTATTCGTATGAATTTTCATCTCATTTTGATATTATAACCAAAGGGTGTATAAGTGGTATAAATTGTATAGTCTTTGTTATAACCGTGGCTCAGTTAGTTCTTCAACCGAGCCTCTGCCATATTTGTATAAACGGAGAAAACATTGCCTATATTTAACTCGTATATATTTATATAACTTCTATGAATCAGTGCACATCGTTGCCATTAAGCCATTATTATAATGGTAAAAATATTTGTTTATTTCGAAATATTGCTAATCAAATTCAAATTCAAAACACTTAATGGCTATAAAAAACCTAATAGTTACACCAAGAGTAGTATAAATTGAATAATGTAAAATAAAGCTAATCCAATAAATGAATGTAGGGGATATGGAGTATTAGAGCGTTACGAATGGTACAAACAACCTCTGATTAAGAGTTTTTATCGTCTTAATTTTAATTAACTCTGATAAGGTTTAAAAGTTGTATTTAAAGTCGTATAGGTTAAAATTGAAAGTTCAAAGGAAAGAAATCCATATAAATATTGCATAAAAATTTAAAAATAAACCCTAGGCTTAAATAAGTCTTGCAAATAAGAAATCATATGGAAGATCATGTCTATCTTTTATAAATCATATCACAACAATCATTTCTTGGGAAGTCTTTTTAAAAGTTTTAGAATAATACTAGATAGACAAATATGGAATGTTAAGAGATAGGAAATCAACATGAATACCTATGACTATCCACAACATTACTGATGTTGGTTGGTTGAATCAAAATCACAATTTAATAGTCTCAAAAATATGCCCAGCATCAATTATAATATTTCTCGTGTTAGTTTTTATAAGGTTAATAAATTTCCATAGTCAGTTTAATATCCATAAAATAAATCCATTTTCTACCTGACATGGCTAGATCGTATCGGCTGTTGATGCTGATTAAGAATATATATGATTAATTCGACTTGGAAATTACTCCTTCAGTGCTCTGCAAGCATCTGACTAAAAATATAATACTCTTGTAAGGGTATAGTCAACGGAATAACCATATAACATAGCATATTTATGCATATGATTTTCAAAAACTGTATAAAATTAGGTTACAATTTTTTACTTCGTATACAGAAACACCATGTTACACATAACTCTGAACCTGAAAAATTTCATTATATACTTTTGCAAACCTTTTAAGAAGTTTTAAAAACCCCAAGTGACTTCTTAAGCACCTTAGTATAATATTGAAATACAAATTACTTAAAGAACCCCCTCTAGTCGTTATTTATATTATTTATAGACTCCAATTTGTACCCTTTACATATTTTGTATACGTAGTCAAAAAATATTTAGCTTTAAATATGAGTTCCCTCCCCACCACTCCGTATGCTATAATTCCTCGCTGTGCATTCGCACACCGCCCTAAGTAGGCACTTGAGTAGGCGGAAGTGGGTAGGATTTTCATGGTCGGGGAAGGCCTATCTATGCCTAGCATACTTCTGAGCGCAGTCGCTCGCGTCTACCTCAAAGCAAATACTTCGAAAACATTTTCATTACTCCAATTTGTCGTCGTCATCTTGGCTGCTGCTTGGCGGGTGTCTGGGTCTGGCTCGTTGCCCGATTTGATTGTCCCATCCATTTCGCTATTCATAACTTTCCCAGGGCCCAAGGATCAAGGACCAAGGCAAGGTGGAAAACAGCGCGAGCCGTGTTTACCCGGGTAATGAGCCCGAAATTACCCGTGGTTGCCATGACAGAAGGAAGGCAGCTCTCCATGGTTTTCCACGACCTCGGAAACTGTTTGCCGCCGGCGCCTTTTCGTCATTTTTTTTATTTTTTATTTTATGTGCATTTAATTTTCCCGCTTTGTTGCAATTGAAAGTTTGTCAAGCGCTTTGACCTTGCCGGAGACATGCAAAAATAAGAGGAGAAAAAATATAGTGTCGACCGGAATGCCGCAAATAGGGTTTATTGATGGTAAATTGATGTTGTTAGCACTCAGACACACACATGAGAGTTGGGTGTAAAAAAAGGCCAACTATGTGGCGGAAACCGGAGAGCGGAGGGATCAAAGTAGGCCACGGCTTCTCCACCTGCAGCCAGCGATTTATTAGGTGAGATTATTCTTGCCGCTTCTAAAGAATATTCTGGGAATCTCAAACTGTGTTTGATGAGAGAACTCAATGGAGACAGCAGAAATGCAATATTTATAAAAATATATATTGCAAATTATCGTTAAATTTCTAAAATAATAAATATGACATTAACAATTAAAAGTCAATCGTAATCGAAATTTATTATAAATTTTCAAAGATGAATATATAAATATATATTGTAAATCTTGTTTTGCTTAATTCTGCACAAACCAAGATGATAATAATTAAAATTGTTCAGGAATTTTAAATGACATTTATAGTATATTTCTTAACTTAAGAAAGGTTTACAGGTATTTGCCTAACTTAAGTATAATTTACTTATATTCTGTAAAATAATACTGCATTTGGATTATAATTTGGAAATGAAAAGATTTTGTCAATGCTAAATATGTTAGATAATTTTTACATATCAGCCCCTAATTTGTAAAAAGTCTAAAGGCATACATAATTATTTACTTAAATTAAACGATAGAGAGTGGAGGAGCTTAAAATATATTGAAATAACAATAAGAGCACCTAGACCTCGAACCATATAAAACCATCATTTGCTTTTCAATTTTTATTAAATTTACATAAATTTTTAAGATTTTTAAGAAATGGAACCTGTATTAATATCAAAAAAGTATTGCTGACTTGTACTTCTTTAAATATTTATTTGCAATAGAAAAATTACAAACCAATATTTATATTTCTTTAAATATTTGCCTGCAATAGAAATTGCTGTAGTAGTTTATCAATAAAGTATAAATTAAACATTTCAAATAGTTTTTCTTAGGTACCAACATTTTATTTTGCTGGGACTACTAAAAAATCAATTAATATATTATTAATATAAAAATATATAACTTTTATTCAACCTGAAAATAAGGAAAAATAATTTATTTTGTCTACATAATTTAACGGCCAAACAAAATATATATTTTATATCCTTACAAAAATCATTTCCGATCTTATTAATCTTTACCATCATTAAAATTGTCGTTTTCATTTTTAATATTTAAAGTTCCAATTAACGGTTTGTCAAACTAAAGACAGCAAACACAGAAAAGATGAATGATTTGATATTAATGCATCATTGGCTTAGTAGTAATAGAGTTTAAATTAGGCGCAACAATGGCAAAGGTATTCCAATTTCGGCTTCTCAAAGTTAGCTTTCTTCCTCGTTTTTTATTTTTATTTACAAAGAGTCAATGAGGTCAAATTCGGACTAAGCGGGTGAGCGGTTGTCTTCTTATTAATATTGTTTATTTCTATGTAGCCGGGTTTTGTTTGGCTCTGGTTAAAGGGTCATAAGGTCATAAATGTCATTTACTCACATTTCATAACTTGATTTATTTTTAAATTTCTACCAGTCAGTATTGAGCCTCCTTAGGCTTGAATAAAAGTTTGCCAAAATATGGCAAAATACTTATATTTGGTTAATTTTGTTTTTGGAATAATAGTCGTGACTTCTTGATTCCAGTGAATAGAATTACCAGGCAAAGTCCTCGAGTCTGAGTTTATTAACATCATATTTTCAGAACGTATTACACGTTTCATAAAAAACTAGCTCAAGTCCAACGAATGAAATGCATCTAAACAACAAAGGTACAACAATTCCTGGAAATACTGTCAGAGTATTTTCCGTTCGTGTGATGTTGCCAGCTATTCGTGTTCATTATCTTAACATGCCCAGGACTACTTGCATATTCGACACAAATGCCAAACGCGACCAGGCATCAATTTCAACAGCTGCTCCCGGGGATTCCCACTGCCTCGGTCTCCGTTCGCCGGCCCTCGCTGTTCCGTCCTCCCAACCTCCATTTCGACAAACGAGGCGAGTGCTGAAAAATGCAAATCAAGTTTCAAATATTTGAACAATAATATTTGTGGAATGCCACCCAAATTACTCACGCAGTCCGAAGCAGGAGCAGGAGCAGGAGTCGGATCAGGAGCTGTAGCTGGAGTTGGAGGGATGCATATTTAAAATGTCGCGTGCTGTTAACTTTGAAATGCCAAAAATTAAGGGCAGTTGCAGGGGATGATGATGATGGAATATATACATAAATGGAGGATAAGCCCCACTCCCAACAACATTCTAATTAATAGCGGCAGGCTAAAAATGCCGAAAAGGAAGTGCGGCGAATTCAAACGGATGTGTTTGGTGGCATTAGAAGCGGTCTAACCAGATGCTGATCCGACGCTCTCCATTCGGTGGTGGTGGTCCTCCTCCTCCTTCTCCTTATCCACCATTCGAAGCTGTCA